AGCACTCAATACTCCAGTAGATATAGGCATTTACAGCACTCAATACTCCAGTAGATATAGGCAGTTACAGCAATCAGTACTCCAGTAGATATAGGCATTTATAGCACTCAATACTCCAGTAGATATAGGCATTTACAGCACTCAATACTCCAGTAGATATAGGCATTTCCAGCACTCAATACTCCAGTAGATTTATAATAGCATTGGACTCCTAATAAACAGAGGACACTCAACAGTTTTATCTTAACTCTTTAAACCTGTAATTTTTGGCTCATTCTGCCAGACTTATTTTCAGGATGTCCTAATAATTTTCACCATACCATATAAAATTGTCAGTCTATTTACAAAAGGTGGATAATAGCATGGTTTGAATTAGTTTTTAGCCAGAGAGACATGAAGTTATCGGACGTTGTCACTTTCCGTCGGTAAATCAGGATTTTTGGCCAGCTGCTGGCAGCATCCACTCGAGTTTAAGGAGTTACCACAGTACTTGTCGTTCTTTCCCCCACATAACGAAACACTACACTTTAAGTATAAACATTCTAATCTGGACATTATGAAAACATAGTATATACATTGTATCTATTTTAAAAAATGTATATATACCATAAAACCATACCTCAGAGACTCCACACAATCTCACTCCCTCCATCTGGTGGAAGACAGGGTAATGAGTGGAGTCAATCTCGTCTCGTCGATACACGTCACCAAACACTAAGAAATTGTCGAGTCCACACTTTATTAAATCGTGCTGATGTGCAGAGGTGTGTGCTCGCAACATAAACTTAGAATTTATATAATAACTGTCACTTAATCTTCTACTAGGATGGTCATGGGGCACTAACAGATTATCGAAATTCTGTTCCAGTGTCACAACAGGATTCAAGTTATCATGAACGGAAAAAATTGGATTTCCTCTTGAGTTCACAAACTTTGAATAAATAAAATTAACAATTCTCTGTTTCAGTAAGCACAGCGGATGATACTGTTTATGGTGCAGGTTTTTTCCGATCAAATTCAGTATTCGGTCACTAACATTTGTGTAACAATCACGTGGGTACTCGGTGCCATTTAATGTAATGGCCTTTTCACAGAGACTGGATGTAGTCTGGTAACAGGTAGAACTTGCATACCGGCTACACGTTCTGGTCAACATACAGTGTGTAACTTGATAGACAGTCATTATGTTTCCTGTCTGAAAGAGAAAATAAACTTTATAACTGATTACTTTACAGCATAGACAATATCTTTTGGTGCATTTTAAAAACCGGTATTGACAAACAACACCCAGTATTTTGATTAAGTATTGTTTATCAATATCTGTTTTAAAATACACCCAGTATTTTGATTAAGTATTGTTTATCAATATCTGTTTTAAAATACACCCAGTATTTTGATTAAGTGTATTTGAAAAACAGATAATGACAAATAATATTTGATCAAATTACTGGGTGTATTTTAAAAACAGATAATGACAAACAACACTTAATCAAATTAATGGGTGTATTTTAAAACAGAGATTGACAAATAATACTTAATCAAAAGACTGGGTGTATTTTAAAACAGATATTGATAAACAATACTTAATCAAAATACTGGGTGTATTTTAAAACAGATATTGATAAACAACACTTAATCAAAATACTGGGTGTATTTTAAAACAGATATTGACAAACAATACTTAATCAAAATACTGGGTGTATTTTAAAACAGATATTGACAAATAATACTTAATCAAAATACTGGGTGTATTTTAAAACAGATATTGACAAATAATACTTAATCAAAATACTGGGTGTATTTTAAAAACAGATAACGATAAACTTTTGGGACTGAAAACAAATACTTCAGTCAAGAGGTTAAATGGTAGAAACGTTTTAATTGTAAACTGTTATAGACCATCTGATCAGACAGATGATGCCATTATAAATTGTGTACAAAAAACAGGGTTGTTACTAACAAGAATACTGATGCAGAATTTTGGGAGACTTATCCTTATACAGATTGACCTGGATTGTATACAGAATTAAATAGTGAAGTAGAAAGATTATTCGGGATAATTTTCTAATCCAAATGTTTAGAGAATTAGCCAGCGGTAAACGCATTTTAGATTTCTTGATGAAGGTATGGCTGCAAAAGTCATATTAGTGAAACATTTGAGGAGTGATCGCTGTATACTTAAAATTATGTTCTGCTACACATTACAATAAAAAGAAATGAAATGATAGTTCCTAACTTTCAGAAAACCAATTTTGAGGCCATGAGACAAGATACATGTTATTTACGTTAATGATATCGATAGGGATATAAATAGTAAAGTTTGATGATAGCATTGGGTATTTCTAGCTGTATTGATGATATATTAAGATATCACAATCAATTAGCAAGTTGGACAAATATTTAACAAATAATATCTAATATCGCTTATCAAAAATAGTGCATTTTGAGTCATCATAATTTGGATCACACATTTAATATATAAGGGAAACAATAGCGTGACTAAAGAAAAGAATATCAGATAAGTTATTGAAACTATCATAGCAGTGCACTGTTGTTAGTAGTAAACCTTGTAGAATTTTAGGATGTACATATTAATTCCAAGCTACAAAGAGATAGTTATCTCCTTACACAAACTCCTAATCAGGCCTTCTTTGAAATACTGTGTACGGTTTTAATCTCTTTATCAAAGAAAGGGTACTTAATCACAGAAAATGGTTACTAGGATGACTGATTCCAGGGAATAAGTTAAGATCTCTTTATTTTCTATTGAGAAGAGTAAGAGGTGATCGTTTTGAAGTTTACAAGATTACTCAGGGATCGATAGGGAAAAGGCCCCTAAATTTTTTGTGCTATGTTTTGAGGATAACAGAATGAGAGGTCACAAGTTAAGATTTGGTAATGATAGGATAGATATAAGTTATGACAGTTAATTTTTTCTAACTAGGTGATCAATTCAGGAGAAGAGTTGCTATTGGCAGTAATGGAGACCAACACTTTACAGAAGTTCAAGACAAGAATCCTAAAAAATAAAGGGTGTTCAAGGACAGCCTTGAAGCATCAAATGGTATTATGTTGCCCAAAAGTTATGTTCAATACACACATACATACATATATATATTATTGTGGAAAAATTAGTGTTTTTAAATTTAACAAACACTTTTTCTTTAAAGCTATGTATTTATTATGTAACTTGATTAGTTTAATATTAAATAAAATACATTTTTGGATAAAAGAAGATAATGATAACTGGTCTTTACTTTCACACTAATTTACTATGATTTTTACTTTAAAATATATATATATACATACATAAAACAGTGCAAATATGATCAAAATGGACACCTAAAAATTTACTTTATATATAGTATTCCATGTAAGCGTTTATATGGTATTCCATGTTAGTGTTTATATATATATAGTATTCCATGTAAGTGTTTATATATAGTATTCCATGTAAGTGTTTATATATAGTATTCCATGTAAGCGTTTATATGGTATTCCATGTAAGTTTATATATACAGTATTACATGTAAGTGTTTATATAGTATTCCATGTAAGTGTTAATCTAGTATTCCATGTAAGCGTTTATATGGTATTCCATATATGTATTCCATATATATAGTATTCCATGTAAGTGTTTATATATAGTATTCCATGTAAATGTTTATATATAGTATTCCATGTAAGCGTTTATATGGTATTCCATATATGTATTCCATATATATAGTATTCCATGTAAGTGTTTATATATAGTATTCCATGTAAATGTTTATATATAGTATTCCATGTAAATGTTTATAGAAAAAATAATTAATTCTCTTTCTTCTAAAAATGCAGTTTTAAATATCAGTTGTTTATCACTGCATATCATTAATTCAATGTTAGGATTTTCTTTTAACGGGAAAAATCCTAGACGAAGATTGAGGTTTTTACTTTTATCATTAGGACACTCACCTACTTCAGAGTTCAACTTTACATTCACTCACTGTCCGATGTCTTCTTCCAATGCCTGTTACTGGTAGAGCAACACATTATCTCACAATATACACTGATTTGTGGTTACATCGCCAAACTAATGAATAAGTTATAATATGTTTTACTTGACATCAAGCATATTACTTCTTTACACTATAAAGCAAAGGTTGGCTTATAAATATTTTAATTTTCTGTTTTAGGCCTTGCACCCACATTATAACTAACCTGATGTTATTTGTACTGCATGTTATTCAACTTTATCTTCAGGTAGTGAAACTTGAAAGTGTAGGCCTGATAGTGTAACTGTAACAAGCATAACTTGTAAGCAAATCATTATTACTATTTAGTATTACTCTGACATAGGTGAATGTCCCAACGACAGAAGTCAAACTCTAGAGTCTAACCGTTAGATTACAAGAATTTGTATCTGTACATGCCTTAAACTTTAAAAGTATAAAATAACATGTAATAACGATTACAAATTTCTGACCCTACAGTTGCAATTCCACTATCAGTATCATACTTAATACTACTATTAGTATTAGTACTAATTACTATCAGTGTTACTATTCATACATGACTCAACTGAAAATGTGCCAGATGACTAATCTAGTTATTTTGAAGGTTTATTGCTAACTATAAATTCTGTTTATATACATAATAAATAAACAAACCATTCTCGTGCATATCATCGTACAACTACAACGATTCATAAAACCAGCAGTGCCATCTAGGATTGTTAACTCTGTTGTCTTTCATGTTTTATATTTTGTATCGTTCCTTAGGACTTCGTCAACAAATATTGTAATCAAACAAAATTACTTTAAAAACGCTTAAAAAAAAACCTTATTACAATATTCAAATATCAAGATAACGTTAATTATTTTATAAACACAATTTCATTTAAAATCCCTAAATAGCTTACAGTAAAACCATTCGATTTAAAACATCAAAACTAATTTATATATACACATTAAATAAAAAAAAAGAAACTTTCTTTCTAGAGCAAATAAAATGAAAATTTACAATAAAAACGTTACCTTTAAAAAAAACTTTGAAGTTTATTTTACTTTTAAGCTTCTTTATGAAATATTTTAGCTAAGCTGTAATTATTAAATGAATTATTTACACACACTCATACAAAATTTAATTGTGTTTATTTTAGAGTAAAGCCACATCGGGCTAACTGTTCACCGTAGGGAATCAAATCACAGAAGTTAACTTTGTAAGTCCATAAACTCACCACTCTTCCACCGGCGGGGAGAGGGAGTAAGTATAGAATAGAACTTTTTTAACTTACCTAAATATCTCAGTATGCAATTCTAAAAATGTAAATAACTAGTGAGAGGACTAGTATTTATACTGATCAAGTTTGAATATAAAATTTCTTACTTGGCCAAGACAAGCTTCTTTACAAACAGAAGAAATTGACAGGCCAAGACAAGGTTATTTAAAAACAGGAGAAATTGACAGGCCAAGACAAGCTTCTTGACGAACAGAAGAAATTTACAGACCAATACAAGCTTCTTGACGAACAGAGGAAATTGACAGGCCAAGAC